TGGTGAGTTCATGTTAAATGAGCTTAAGCAACTTTGTGATGAAGCTGGGATAAGGAGGCAACTCACAGTTGCCTTTACACCACAACAAAATGGTGTAGCAGAAAGAAGAAATAGGACCCTAATGAACATGGTTCGATGCATGTTGAAGGATATGGATGTTCCATCAGAGTTCTGGGCTGAAGTAGTGGCTTGGACTTGTCATGTGCTCAATAGAAGTCCAACTACAGCCAATCAAGGCAACACACCCCAGGAGTTGTGGACTGGCCCACCTCCTTCTGTGTCTCATTTCAAGATCTTTGGTTGTGTTGCTTATGCACACATTCCAGATCAACAAAGAAAGAAACTTGATAACAAGAGTGAGAAGTATCAATTCCTTGTGATTTCAGTAGAATTCAAAGCTTACAAGCTGTATAATCTTAGAACTAATGTAGTTGTAGTGAGCAGAGATGTTGTCTTTGATGAAACAAAGGGGTGGACCTGGGATTCAGGCTCACCACCACATCAAACCAAACTGGTTTGGGAAGGCAGTGATGAGAATTGGGAAGACTCTGATGCATAAGAAGAATCTGAGGAATCAGCAGGTCCTGAAGTAGCTGATGGGACTCAACCTGAGAGTCCAAAAACACCAGAGCCAAACACAAGTGACAAAGAAGAAGAGGAGGAAGATCCTAGCACCACAACAGATGTGTTGGGACTTACCAGTACCAAAAGAATTAGGAAGCCCCCATCCAAACTTGCAAGGTATGACTGGCAAATTCATCTTGTTGAGGCTGATTGTAGTTTTGCAAGAAGTAACTGGATAGCACTTGTAGCCATGGTTGATGATCCACAGTCATATGAGGAAGCTTGCAAAGATCCCAGGTGGAATGAGGCAATGAAGGCTGAGATGCAGTCTATCAAGAAGAATCTCACCTGGGAACTCATTGATCTACCAGCAGGCTGTTAAGAAATAGGGCTCAAGTGGGTGTACAGAAAAAAACTCAAAGAGGATGGCACTTTGGACAAGTTCAAGGCTCGTTTGGTGGTAAAGGGGTATGCACAGAAGGAAGGGGATAATTACACTGAAGTGTTTGCCCCAGTAGCAAGGTGGGATACTATCAGGACTCTTCTAGCTCTATCTGCACACTATGGTCTAACTGCGTATCAACTGGATGTAAAAAGTGCATTCTTGCATGGGGAGCTTACTGAAGAAATCTATGTGGAGCAACCTCAAGGCTTTGAGGTTGCTGGGGAGGAAGCCAAAGTATACAGGCTGCACAAAGCTTTGTATGGACTCAAGCAAGCACCAAGGGCATGGTACAGCAAGATAGAGGCTTATTTCGAGAAGTCTGGCTTCCAGAAGTGCAATTATGTACATACATTGTTCATTAAAAGTTCAGGATCTGACATTCTCATCCTCAGTCTGTATGTAGATGATCTTATGTATGCAAGCAATAGTTCTGTGATGATTGAAGAGTTCAAATCATCTATGCAAGCTGAATTTGAGATGACAGATCTAGGGAAGATGAGATATTTCCTAGGTGTGGAGGTGATTCAGAAGGATGAAGGAATTTTCATCTGTCAGTCCAAGTACACAAGAGAACTTCTGGAAAAATTCAAGTTGCTAGAATGTAATTATGTACATAATCCTGTGGCACCTGGACTGAAATTGACAAAAGCTGGAGATGGGATTGCTGTCAATCCCACTGAATATAAGCAACTGATAGGCAGTTTGCTGTATGTCACAGCAACAAGACCAGATATTATGTTTTCAGTGTGCTTGCTAAGTAGATACATGGACTCTCCTACCAGACATCATCTACTGACAGCAAAAAGAATACTCAAGTATCTAAAGGGCACTATGAATCATGGTATCTGGTATAGGAAGGGTCATGGAGAGGAAGATCAAAGGCTGGCAGGATACACAGATTCAGATTATGCATGAGATTATGATGACAGAAAGAGCAGTTATGGTTATGTTTTCTTTCTTGCAGGAGCAATAGTATCGTGGGCTTTCAAGAAGCAACCAGTTGTGAATCTCTCAACCACTGAAGCTGAGTTTGTTGCAACATGTTTCTGTGCCACACAATGCATCTGGCTTAGAAACATTCTGATGGAAATGGGATGGAGCAGAATTGTGGACACTGGAACTACCATCTTGTGTGACAACAAATCTACAATTAAACTGGCTAAAAATCCAGTTATGCATGGGAGGAGCAAACACATAGACGTTCACTTTCATTTCCTAAGAGAACTGGTGAAGGAAGGTGTGTTGGAGCTGGAGTTTTGCAGAACCAATGAACAAATTGCAGACTTGATGACCAAGCCTCTCAAGCTACAAACTTTTCAAATCTTGAGGAGCAAATTGGGGGTCTGTGACTTGGAAGACCTTGGACTGAAGGAGTAATCAGAAGGTGATCAACCGGCTTCAGTTCAGGGGAGGATTTGTTGGAGTAAGTCTGAACTGAAGCTGGAATCCTTTTCCTCTGCGGATTAGGATTACTTGAAGGCTGTTGCTGTTTAATTGATGCAGCATCGTTTTAATTTAGAGTCTGTCAATAAAAGGCCAGGTCATGCTCTGGCTAAGTGTTTGTTGAGTCCCTGTTGTTTTAAGTTTGGTCAGTTGAGTCTAGAAAGGTTGTTTGGTATGTTGAGAGATTCCTGTAAACGTGTAGGTTAAGCAAGCTGATTAGTAGGGCTTGCTGTTAGTAGTTGGAAACTTTGAAGCCGAACTTTGTGGCTCAAAGGCTGAGTATTGAAGGTTTGCATTATTTCCATTAATAAAACGTCAGTTTGCAATACATTGTGTTCTTAACTTCCTTGTTCCTTTTTCACACGAATTTTACTTCTCTGTTCTTTCCGAAACACAAATCTCTCTGTCCCTTTAAACACAACATTGGAATAACAACGCTCAACGCCGTCATTTGGACAAGATGTGGCCCCTTCCATCACCGTCGTCGCGACAGATGTCGCAACATTTGGCGCTGGCATCGTCTCCTCATCTTTCAGTCGCCGGCTTTCCAACCGTCACCCTATTCTTGAACCAAAACCTGGGTTATGATATGTGGGTCATGGAGCAGATTTCCGACGACGCCTTTCTTCTTTCCAAGCAACGATTCTATGGGATGGCAATTTTTGGCAAATCAATGGCAATTCTCAGACCCAGCGATGATTGGTCGTTATTTGGGATGGCCGGATGGATGATTTTTGAGTTTAATGTGTAGTAAAATCCGAGCTCCAGAGTCCACAGGCGACCGCCTTTCTTGTACCAAAATGAGGTATCATGATTGGAATTCTCTACGGCGTTGGTTGGCCTTGGGCTTGGCTTCTTGCCTGCTTCTATTTGACAAAGCGGTGGGAGGTTTCCTTTATTCATTAGAAATAGATTGGAAACGAAAATAATTTTAATTTTAGGGGATTACTAAAAGTGGAGATGTTGGACAAGTAGTGGCCAGAAAGGAGGAAGCAGATGAACGTGTACTTGATTATGCATCCTCTGTCACTAGTTGGGGGACGGGGATACGCGTAGAACCAAATCTGGGTTCGTTTCCTGGAACAACGAAGAACACTATGAAGAAAGGAAGGGCAAAAAATTAATTTGGATTTTTTCTTTAAAAACCCGGATCCAATTCCAAACGAGTTAATTGGTATAAATCCCGTGTCTAAATTTTTCTGGGTTTTTAAACAAGGGATTTTAACCCAAATTCTTCATAAATCTCTTGTATTAAAATTCTGCATCCAAACGACCCCATAGAATTTTGTAGAAAAAAGGCTTGGGAGGAAAGGAACTTTGGCCATTTCTTTTTATGTTTGGCGCTAGCTTGGACGAAAAACACCGGGAAGATATTTTTTTACCTAGTGGCCCCTCCGACCTCTGTGTACAGGTGTCAATCGGGCGGGTTCGGGTTGGGTTCAATCGGGTTCGGGTTCAAACGGGTTGCGGGTTAGTCGGGTTGCGGGTTCATCGGGTTCGGGTTCATCGGGTTCGGGTTCAAACGGGTTGTGGGTTAGTCGGGTTGCGGGTTCATCGGGTTCGGGTTCAATCGGGTTGCGGGCAAATCGGGTTGCGGGTTCATCGGGTTTTGGGTCGGGCGGATCGGGTTTCGGGTTGTTCGGGCCAACGCATCAAGTAACTTAACTCATTACTCATTACCAACTTACACATTTTATTACACTAATTTAAAATATTTTCTCAACTTTTTAACCAATTTATTTCTACCTCGTATATATACTTTATTTTTTTGAAAAAAACTAGTCAAAATGTTAAATCAATTTGTATTACTTGCAAACTTGTTATGTAATTAATCATAATTGGTAAAGTATTATAGCTAATAGTAATGGTGATATCAATATTTGCAACCAAAAAACAACATTAATTGTTTATTTGATATTTTAGTATTAATTCAGTAGTAATTGATTAAAGTATCTCGTTTAGTATAACCATGCAAATCTGGTATTTGGTGTGTGGTATTTGGCAAAAGCATAGTGATAAAAGGAGTTATTTCGAAATAACTCATTGCCCAAATAACTTTAGTAAACTGTTGCCAAACGAGTTATTTGTAAAATTGTTCGAATTATCCTAAAAATTGAACCATTAAAGATTAGCTATCAAATTTAGTAAAATTATTGTTACTTCAATCATAACTTACTCAATAGCATATATCCTATACACTTTGCCTTACCCTCAATCAACAATATTAAGTTAGTATATGTTGTTGATTGTATACCCTAAACCATCAATACATTATACACTAACCACATAACCTATACCCTATACCCTAACCATATGTCTTTGAGTTGTGATTTTGCTAGTATAGTTAATTTAAAAGTGAAATTCATACTTTTATTTTCAAAACATAGATAAAAAGTGATATTTGCTAATTATTATACCCTAACCATATATCTTATACTTTACACCACATACCTTGTACCCTAAGCACGTACCATAAACATAAATTAAAAAGGGATCTTCTGCCGTTAAAGACTTCAAATGACTTCAAGTGAACATATGTTAATAAAAAACTTAGAACTGTCAAAACCATCAATATCTTATACCCTAACCATATACACCCTAAACCATATGTACCTTATACCCTAACCATATACTTTATATCCTAAACAACGAACCGTCAAAGATTACTTATCAAGTTTACTATAACTTGTTGTAACTAATGGTTAATTTATTTATTAGCCCATAAACAATTACATACATATATATATTAGCCTTCAAAGCATATAAGAATAATTTTAACTAGTCATGCCTTACATATAAAAGTTAAAGATTCATATTTCAAAAGCTAAAATTATGAAAAACCAAAAAATTGAAAACATCAAATTTGTTTCCTTCTTTCTTTTCACAAAATACTAAAATTTCTCTCCTTCTTTCTACTTCCATACATTAGAAAACTCAATTTTCCCTCCTCTTTCTCTTCCATAAAATTGAAAGAACCAACTTACCCTCTTCTTTCCTTCTACAAAAAGTTGAAAACTCAAAAGTTTCCCTCCTTATTTCTCTTTCATAATCAAAAGAATCAAATTTTCCGACTTCTTTCTCTTCCCACATATCAAAACCACCAAAATTCCCACTTGTTTCTTTTCTAAAAAATTCAAAGAACCAAATTCTAAAAACTTGAATACACCAAAATTTCCCTCTTCATTTAAAAACATCAAATTACCAAATACATTACTTTACTTTATTTATATTTAATTGATAATTTTATTGAACAGTTAAATTAATCAAAATTTTAATTTATATATTATATTAATATTGTCATGATCTCAAGTGACCTTCATGTTTCAATTTTTGTAATTTTCTTAAAATACGTAATATCAAGTGGGTTTCATATTTTTTAAATTTCCTATACGAAATGAAAAAATAATTTTACTTAAGTTTAGAATGAAAAACTTTATTTTGAAAAACTATGTATTGTATCATTTTATAATTATTCAAGTGGATTAGATAAAATTCGGGTTGAGTCGGTCGGGTTACGGGTTAGTCAGGTTCGGGTCAATCGGGTTCGGGTTAATCGGGTTGCGGGTCAGTCGGGTTACGGGTCAATCGGGTTCGGGTTAATCGGGTTGCGGGTCAGTCGGGTTGCGCGTTAGTTGGGTTGCGGGTCAATCGGGTTGCGGGTCGGGCGGGTTACGGGTTGTTGACTTTTAGTCAATTCGGATTGCGGTCGGGTTGCGGGTCGGGTTGATCGGGCGGGTTAATCGGGTCGGGCTATGTTTTGACACCTATACCTCTGTGCATGAGCTAGGAATATTAGAATTGATGGGGTTCCATTGGAGAACCTCCATATATAGTAACTAGATTTGGACACGCCCGTAGAACGGATACATTTCGTCAATAATACATAATCAACAATGGTAATTGTGTTACGTAAGATATGTTTTATTTGATATTTCAAAAAATAGCTAAATCATGTAATAACTTCAAAATTAAAAACTACATTATATAAGTTTCGAACATTCTAAGCAATTCATTTACAAATAGTTAAAAAACCCTCATGTAATGAACCCGACTCTTAATATATAGGTTTAGAATTACAAAACTGCACTTTGATTTACCTCTTTTTGTCAAAATACTATAAATTTTATTTGTACTTCTTTCGATTGCTTTTCCATTAACAACATGAAATTGAAATAAATTTTAAATGTTTTCTATTGTACAAAGTATAGTAACCTTGACCTAAAAGAAATCTTCTTCAATTTCACTTCTTGGTATGACCGAAATATCATCACATGTTTGGATTGATGTGTTTGATTGAAACTTAATGATTAGTTTGTTTGAATTGACCTATAATCTACAAAGTCCTCAAAAGTCCAAATCCTTTGAACTTGAATTAGAGGGTGAAAGGATTAATTTTCCATTTGAGAATCATACCCAAATATCATTATTAGAGAAAAAAGTATTCGTATTCATAATGTTTTAAAACTTGAATACTACAATAAAATTTCACATACCACTTGGCTAGGTGAATAAGAACTCAAACCCTTAATTGTTTGTTACTTCTAAAAATGTTCAAAATGTTCTTAGCGGGTTTTCTATTCCTTGGATTACATTTATTTTTGTGAAATTAATTTCTATTTGCATGATTACTTTTATTTTTGTGAAATAATTTTCTAAAATGATGTATTAACACATATAATAAGATAAGTAATCTCTTATGATTTTTACTCTTATCATAATACAAATGACAAATTAATAATTGCAATAAACCTAAAATTGCATCTTCTTTAATTAGTTCTAGGTTTTGTCTTGCCCTGCCAAGCTAAATTCGATATAAAAAGTCATCTCTTTGCCTTAAGATATAAAATAAATTAATAGAAGTACTTAATTGATAAATAAAATTGTCACCCCAAGATACTAATCTATTAGTCAATAATTCCTACGTACCACTGTTATACTTCCGTTTTAAGGTTGATTAAGCTCACATAAAATAATCACTATTAAGCATCCCAAATTATGTACGGAAAAAATTAATGAGGAAGCTTTTCTTACGAAAACTTTGGAATGGATAGTAAAAGTAGGGAAATTGGATATTTTTTTTTTCCGGTAATTAAACTTTCATTGAAGCTCCCTTTAACCAAATCGGTAAAGGCGGTCAAAAATACAAGAACAAAGAACGTCCACTAAACAGTTCAAAACAACTGTAACCTATCTACACAAAGTCCCTCCAAAACGGAGCAACCTGCATATCACTACAAAACTGACTATTTCCCAATGAAACTAACAACACATCTCTCTTAATCTGGACGAACACCTGCTGCCAAGAGCGTTGTATTCCTTCAAAGTACCTTCTGCAACGCTCCTGCCATATCAGACCCACATACCAAAACCATAACATAGAGAAACAGCACCCCTGAATACCTCTCGCAGCCTCTTGACTTGCCACCTGCAGGAAACAATCCCAATCGTCTGGCCAGTTTATCCCCATCATGCCAAATAGCTCCACAAATAACCCCCTACTATACTGACATTCACAGAATAGATGGCATCTAGTTTTATCCTCATTCAAACAAAAAAGACATCTGCATCTGTGATGCTGCCCCATTCCTTCAGCTTGTCCCGAGTGGTTATTATATTAAGAATAATCATCCACGCATTTATTCTGTATCTCGGAATCACATACTTGCTCCAAATCAACTTCAAGTTGGATATTTTTTAGAGTAAAGATAATTAGTTAATTAGTAATAATTTGTTGACAAAAATATCTCTTCTAAAATTACTCAACAAGCTGGAAATTTTGGATGAAGCATGTTATGATGGAGAACCTCTATAAATAAGTGGGAGGAGGATGAGAGGATTTACCCTTCAATCTTTTCATAAAATTCCTAAACTATTAATGTCATGTACTGCAAGTTGGATGTCAAAGGGTGCCTGCCCGACTATTCATTATTCTACTCAAAACAGTTTGTGGTTTATGCATATTTATAGCTTTATAAGAGTTGGGTTGAGAATCAAAGTTACATCCATACTCAATCAGATTTCGGGTATTCACGGTTATTCATGGATAATAGTTTGATTTTATAACTCCATCGAACATGTTAACATTCACACGTATAGTGGCATATATAAGTGAAAAATTGTGATAATGAATCACTAGAATGAAGAAATTAGACAAAAGTAACA